AACTTACTGTTTAAAAGAGTCAATAAATAAGGAAATCCAGTTAAAATAAAACATTATAAAGAAAACATATAGATACTTAATAAAATTCAATAAACTTATATCTAAGAACAGTTAAAGAAACATTAATTACACGCATGGCTTATCTTATAGACCACACAACACTACAATAGTACGCAGGTTGTTTGGCTCATTCTGAACAATATGTTTATAAACTTTTTGTTTACAATTTTGTTTTTTATATCATATCTTCGGTGATGACATGTACAAACAAAACAGATTCGTTGAAAAACAAAATGTTGTCTACCTACACATACATATAACACATATTACATTACATTATACAAAAGCATGTTATTCTCAAAAAACAGCAACTACAATCGTTATAAAATTAATATGGAACTGAATCGGGAGTGAGTTCTATCGATCACAAAAAGAATTATGAAAATGGGTTCACCATTAACAAAATAATCGTATATTTAGAAAAAAAAAAATTAAGAGCGTTCATAACAAACGCTAGCCAAATTTAGGTATTTATTTTACTAGTAAATTGAGAATTTTCTTTTATTGCAAGTCGGTTAAAAATAACACTACACATCTCGTTGAATTATTGGTTGGGCTGGCTATATAACTCGAATAACCTATATCAGTTAGGAAAAAAGGTTTTTGAGTGGCGAACGCGTGTTGGCGCCGCCGACGAGATTATGTGACATCCTCAATTACTACAGAGCATTGACTGTACCTACATTGTAGTTGTATTGAAAATATATCCAGAAATATGTTCAAAATTGTAATTATTGTCTAGTATTAATCGTAAAAACTAAGTCTATTATATTATTATTTTCTATATTTGATACAATTAATGGTAAATCATATTCGCATGTCTTTTTATGCATGTAACATCAATATGAGTTCATACATAAATAATACTATATAACTGATTAGGTATATATTATTACTTTTTGCCGGCCACACAGCAGTCTATTTTGGAATGCTTTCGCTCGGCTGTAAACAGAAGTAGATGGAAACGCATTACGAGGACCTTAATCGCGAAGGAGGGCTTCATCAACGATTCACTATCATTATAAAAACCATCACCACTCTGTCAAGAGTGTACGACTGAGAGAGAGAGATTACTTTTTGATCTTGTCATAGAAAACCCTGAAATAATACATAATTCATAACAGTATTATTTCATAGTCTTCCGCGACTACTCTGTTCATTTAAAAAAAAAATACTAAATTCCACAAAAAAAGACATGCAAAAATTATCCGCATATAAAAACAGATTATGGATATTATCAAAAGCTACTAATAATATAAATTTCCACATCAACGTCAAAACAGTCTCATCGGCTTAGTTTATATACTCAAAGGCTTAATCTAACGCGAAGGATCCCGATAAGAGTGAATAATAAATTTTGTTTTCAAATACTACGTTATGCTTGTACAAGTAACTTATTATGCAATAAACTGCAACACTATAGTGTTCTAATTGTCCACTCCCACGGCCCGGCGTTTTGGCGAAAGTGCGTGAGAAACAGTAACTACGTTTTATAATTTATAATGAAACTATATCTGTTTGTCTGAATTTGGTGTAAACACTCCTACGTATTTTTATAGAATTGGTCGCTTGAAAATAAAACATACCAATAAAATTATTTATATCACTAAGCAGCAATACATCAATCAATAGATCAATTCAAAGTCAACAATATTTTTAGAATTTTTGCCAGTTTATTCTTTGTCCGGAGTATTCAAGAGACCGAACAAAAAAAATTAACATTGATTAATACCTATATTGTACTTTATTAAGTAAATAAGTCTGAAGAGATTTCCAAAAGGAGTTTTTAAGTCCTTACTAATACTATAAATGTGAATTAGCTTAACCAATCACTATGAAATTTTGTATACGCCTACTATAATTTAGGACGTAAAAGAATATATACTACTTTTCATCCAGATCAGTAAGCATAACCCGGTCATGCGGACGAAGCAGATAAAAGCTAGAAGACTATATTTTTTTTAAGTATGACGTAATTTTAAGTCAAAGATATTTTGTTCGCAATTGAAATAAAAATAAAAATTTTAATGTATAACAATATGTGCAAATGCAAATATATACTAAACTAACTGTACTCCACAACTTCGCCCAAGTGGAACAGTATATAAAGTATCCTATTTACTAAGTTAGGATATAACCCTTCCGTATAGCAAATTGCATTCAAATACGTTCAATAGTTTTTGAATGAAAAAGTAACCAAACCCCCAACTACCTTCTAAAAAGTATTGAAATATAATTAAAAACTGAAATCCGCAAATATATGATTTTCTACTAATTATTCGCAGACAGGAAGTGCACCAAATGAGTTGCCTACTCTGTTAATTATGATGACGTATATATGCTTATAATCCAATGATATTTTTAAAGATAACACCGAACAATCAGTATTTACAAAATGCGTCACACTACTTACTTGTAATCTATAAAATGTAAGATTTGTTTGCATATTACATTTGATGTAAACGTAATCTACTACATAATTAATTGCTGAATTTACAACAGTTTTCGTAAGTTATAACTTACGAAAAGTACTACTCCTACTCAGCATATTAATAGTAGGCTATAGCCTACTATTAATGGTATAAGGTAACAATAACCCATAAAAAACAGCATCGAGATAGTAATGCCAGCTTTCAAGAAAGTTCAAAATAATGTAAAGCGGTATATAAATAAAGCGGTGCTTTGCGGTGGAATAACTCCTTATGTTGTATAAAGTACAAGTGAGGTCATATGGGGCTAATATTCGCATCTTTGGAATAGATCTGCCCAGTTTTTTCGTGCACTTGAATATGCTCTAAAGGTGTTAATTCCAGATTGCTAGATGGCAATATTGACGTAATCAAAAACCTAGAAATCCTGCTTCCTCGTTTAGATAGGGCTTCACACGGCATCTTTCACAGCACACGCTTTAATTCCTTTCTTTTCTGCAATCTGTCCACACGTAAGGGCCAAAGGTTACTTACAGCCAATTACTGTAGATGCATTTGCCGCACGCAAATTCGGTTACCAGGTAAAGTATGTTTTATTACCAAAATGTTGAACGATCCACTTCCCTATTTGTTTCTTTTAACTCTTATTTTGAATTCTCCATTATTTGTGTATTTGATGTATTAATAATACTAACACTTAATTTTACCTTGATCAAAAATTATGAAACTATTATAAAAAAGACAACAACAAATTATAAAATATGATAGATGTGGAGAAAGACGACGACTTAAGAGTAGATTAGTAATGAATATTAAGGGAATCATTACTATATTGAAAATTTTAAAACATTTAATTAAAATGATAAAGAAAGTCGAAGTAGGATTATCGAAGCCTATTTTATCACCAACAAATGATGAATAAGATTTATCAGTATTATCTAAAATCTAGATATTAAATTATTATTTGGTATGTTCGGTTATATACTAGCGCCTAATAAAGTTAAAAAAACGGCGTAGGTTGTACCTACAAATACCTACCCAATACAGATCCACAAACATGTTATTAACTAGCTCTTTACTCGTAACTTCATCTGCGTGACCAGGATGTGTTCACTGTATGGGGTAAAAAGTAGCATACATATGTCTTTCTGCATTCCATATGCTCTCCCATAAAGGGGGTTTTGCTAGTAAGTTTGATACGCTTGAGAGGCGTGTTAGCAACCGCAGTTTGGCTTTTGGTGATGTTTTAAAATGGACACTACTGCCTATATTTCAACCATAAGCTCTTTTACCTCATACGACACATACCGGAAAGGAAGGGGTGGCCTATTCTTTGCCGGCAGCTACAGGGCTACATCCCATATAGCATGTATAATATATATACATACTAAATGTTTTAATTATTAGTAAGCTGTTAAGGTGAATCAAACAAACAAATCCAATTTCACCTCTATAATATAAGTAAGATTTTATAGGCCTCAGTACACGTTGAGCCAATGTATTGCCTCAACGCGTTGACCCAACGATAACGACCCTTAAAGTCACAACAATTTTACACCAACAAAAGGTATTCTTTGTCGACTGGAGTAACAACAAAATTCATAACGCAATCATCTATGAGAATTTTTGTAATTACCTCAAACATTATAATTCATGGTATTATTATTCAAACATGCAAAGTAGGTGCACATAACAAGATAAGCCGTGGAAAACAGACCAGACAATGAACAAGTGTGGTGTTTATAACAATGAAAAATATCATCAACAAGTGTGCGTAACAAACTTAGAAAAACTTGAAACTTCTTGATTGACCTGTACTCTCTTTGTACTTCTATTACATGACATCTTCATCAATCCTGATCCTATCTTGATAACCCTGTTTACAGTCGATAGGAGCAAAATCTTAAAAAAAAAGGTTTTGGCAGGCAAAACAAAGATGGTGAAACATTGTAAGGTCTGGAGCAGGAATACTGAACTAAGTGGAAAATATAAGGAAAAACCTATTTTTTTACAGATGGACAATACGGTTTAAATAAAAATAAAATCATAAATTATTGACATTGTATGGTTTCCATATAATTTTTTCTGCAGTCAATTATACTTCTTCACAGTTAAAATGAACGTAATACTACACAATTTCTTTAAATCCATCACACCTTAAGAAATGCAACTATACAATCAAATATAAAAATCCCGATATACTTGCACACATACATAAACATACCGGAGGGAGACTTTATACAAAAGTCTATTGCTTGGGTACCTCTGTCCTATTCGTGTTTCTACCGTGAAGCAGTTGTGTTTGCATGGCTGTGTCTCGGTTTGAAGATTGGGATATGGCATGAATTTACAGGGTACAGAGGAATAACATCTGAGTCCTCAAGAATGGCATGTCTATGGTATTGCTCATGTCTATAGGCGACGGTTACCACTTTCCATCAGGTGGGCCGTCAGTTTGTATGCCATTCTAAGTTGTATAAAAAAAACAACAAAACATTAAAGACTACATACCTTCTAGCTAAGTGGAGCCGCTCCTGAGTGGTCATGTGCTCCACCTGAGCCATCTCTGCTACTAGGTCAGAGTGCTCCATCTCTCTGGTTCTTACCTGTAAGCCAATTATTTTTGTTACTGATTTTTATTTTCCATATTGGTATAATATGCCAGAAAAAATTTTGTCCAAAGAAGTCTGTATGAATGTACCATGTCAAAATTAATAGGTATTAGTTCTGACTTTAAGAAATTTACTTGAGTGATGTGTGATTTGAAAGATAAGATATAGAGGTAATAGGTAGTTAGCAATCTCACAACTAACATAAATATAGCTTACTTGTTTCTTTTTTATTAATTATTGTAAAATTTTATTAATTATATTTAATATAATAATTTTATTTTAGATTTATTAGAAAACTAATTTGTATTGGTCCTTAAAATTTGCTATAAAATTAAATTGAAATTTTAATTTTAGAGACAGATTTGACCCAAATATAATATTTATATTTAGTGTAAATATATTACACTGTGGTTGCCAACCCGCCTGCCAAGTGTGGCGACTACTGGTAAAACCTGCCTTGGGGGGGTGGGATTATTAGTAATCCAGACTAGCAGTCCTATTGCTAGCAATATAGTAAGGTCAATTACCATATGGTGCCTTCTGGAAACCATTGTGCAGAATTCCAGGTGTGTTCATCACAATGGGATAACTGACCTGCCTTTTCATCATCACCTATCACCTCTCACTGGTACCCTGCCAGTGTATACCACAAGCGCAGGTGGGTTACCATTTCAATATGAAACTAAAAGAACCCTGCCTGGGGGAAGCTATATTTGGCAGTGGACAGTTAATGGCTGATATAATTATGTTATAAAAACGTTCCATTAATTATAATCCATCAAAATGTTTAACTGATCCAAACTTTCTTATATATATACCTATGATCGAAACCACAAAATAATATTCTTCTTTCTTAAGTTTTATGAAAAATATTATTATATTAATTTTGACATTTTAATAAAATCAACCTGAACTAAAAATATTTTCCTTCAACTACAAAAATCAATTATTTTTATTTGGTTCTAAATATAGTAAGACAACGCTTGAAAAAAATAAAGCAGGTTTTATTATTTATAGAAAATAATAATAAATAAAATTTGGACAGTGCCTACTTAGTTAGTTTTAATATAAATTAGTAAATAAAAATGTATATCATTGACCTGTGATAGTACTTCATAGAAATAAACTTTTTATTGTCGTTACAACTATAAACGGTATATATTATTGGCCATGAAGCTAGCCTTTGATAGGGAGAATAATTCAATTTATCAAGGCATAAAGCTATTGATGCTTTTTTAATATCATTTTAATGTTTCACAAAAACTTAAATCACTAAGGAATAACACAGTAACTACAATAAATTTTTATTTCCACTATACACACCAATCAAGTAACAAAACAAATCTTTCAGTTGACACATTTCAGTTTTTTATTCATAGTAAAAAAATTATACCAAAATGAAATATTGACTACTCTTGCTGGCCAGTATAGGCCAACAATATGCTACTATAAGAATAATATAAGGAATGGTCCCATTCCTTATAGCAGTCTATGTAGGAGGTCTATGCTCAGCAGTGAACAGATAACAGCTGATTTGATAATGATGATAATGACTTTTGTATAAATAGTATTGTAATATAAAGTTTAAAAAAACCTAATCTTAATTTTGATAATAACCAAAGCTCACTTAATTCATAGATATTAAATATATTTGAAAGAAATTTTATATCTACTCATGCAAACTGACAATTAATTATGTAAAACAGATAATAGCTGACACTGGCAAACTTTGATTAAGATTAGTGATAACTATGTCTAAATACATTTATGATAATTTGCTAGATTTTTAAAAACTATAAATTACAATACAGCCCTCTTAATACTAGTATGTGGACAATCCTAGATTTAAGTAAGAATATAGGTATTAAAGTTACTAAAAACATAATTATCATAAATAATTAGAAGAATTATAGTTACAAAATATAATGATGTTAATTATCAATAATCTCTGATAAGATAATAAATTGAATATTAGACCACTAAATACATTTATGAACCTGAATAAATGATATAATTTCCATTATAATAATATAGTTTTTTTAACAGACAAACTTTTAAATATTATATTGCAATCTGACAATTTTAGAAAGGCAGTTTATCCAACCTAAGTCACCTGTAGAGTCAATATTAAATAGCACCATTCTTTAAAAGACACTTAATACACTCTAAATATTTAACTTTAAATGTTTAGTAAACTACTTACGGCTATTCCTGGCTATTACAAAGCAAAAGTATGTTTCATTCTTGTCTTGATACCTTTGCCACACATGATATTATACACAAATGAAAAGTTAAACACATGAATGTACACTTATGAAACACATGTAAATTATTAACATATATCACAAAATCTTTTATATTTACACGACATTTTCCGTTATTTTTCCATGAAAATTTTATTATAAACAAGAAGAAAAATCACAAGACAACTAACAAACCAGAAGAGCGGCACAGATAGTGTTGCCTTACTGATAAAATGAAATAAGAAGTAATTATTTTTATCAACGATAAATACATCGAGTTTGTACAATAATTAATCGATAATGATATGTGTTAATCGTTTAGTCCAGAAATACAACACATTTTTATTCTTATTTTATGAGTAACAGTTATGGGAATTTCTTAGTTTATAGAGAACTTATTTCAAAATTCCTTTACTAATAAAATATAAATTAGTTTATTGCACCTGTGTTTTGTGCGGGTACTAGCTATTCTATTTTCATCTATAGTTAAATATTATATTTTTTGAAAAATTTAGTAACAAATGAAACAAATTTAGAGATATTATGTCCTTGTTGTACACTGGTTTTTACCACGGTAACTTATAATACTCTTGCAAACTTCTTATGAAAAAAACAGGAACAGCGTAACTCCACGACATTGTCTTTCGAGATTGTATTAGAAATTTTATAGTTTATACCACGTCTATAAAACATAAATGTGGTAAAAATTAGATATAGAGATTTTTATTTATTTATTTAAACTTTAATGCACAGTAAAATTCTATATTCATTTACCGGACTTAACACCGGACGGTGTTTTGATTTTTTGCAGAAACATACATATAGATAGTTAATGATATGTAAAGCTGAATGCTTCAGATGGTATTCGATTTATATCGATATCCAGTTGTTGTTTAATGTCAATGCTGTCAATCCCTAGATTGAAAGAATGTGTACACCTGACAGTTGTCACATGACAGATGAGCAGTATCAGCCGGTACAAAGATTTTGGATTTGTTCTTTGGTACCTACCTTCTTAGTTTCCCATACAAAACGTTCAATTTAGATATAATCTTCTCTCTCTATTTAGATATGAATGGATAAAATTTCATAAAGTATACTTAGATCCAGAATTGCTCTACAAAGACAGCACAAACGAAATGTTAAAAGTTAAAAATAAATTTAACAATAAATATCGTGCAGTTGTTAGCTGTCGCAGCTGTTTACTTTTGCTAGACGCATCAGACCTTACCTAATTATCACCTTTACTTTTAATACAATATAACTATTCTTGATCTATGTTATCAAGTTGGTGATATTCTTTATCTATATAATGTGTATTATTGCAAACCCTTAGACAAATTACTTTTGAATAAATTTTCCGAATGTTCGGCGAACAATAAAAACATGGATTATGCACAGTACGTAAGAAACTAACAATGATACTTAATTGAAACAGGCAGGGGGAAAGGGATTGTTAGTAATGGGGAGGTTAGTTCCCATTGCTATCAATATACCTTACCATCATCATGACTAATTTATCGTTGAATTCGTCATGATAGGCTTACTGACCTGCCTTTTCATCTTCACCGATCATCCCTCACTGGTGCCCCGTCAGTGTATACCGATAGCGCAGACGGGATTACATTATCATCCATGAAAAAAAAAAATTGCAGCAGGCAAGTTATCTGTAATGATATTAAAAAGTAACGGACCACCAGTAAGGGATAATCTGGTGAGAATTAAAATAGGTGTATTAATTGGCCCATCATGACGAATTCATAAAGAATTAGCAACTATAACTTCCAGGGGTAATCGCGTGGAGATCGATCTAACAGGATATATTGCTAGTAGTAGGACCGCTAGTCCCCCACTAGTAACAATCCCTTTTCTGCCCTACAGTAGGTACGAAAATCTTATTAAATAGTGCAAGAATAATTACCGATAATGTATCTATCTACCCTAACAGTATGCAGTGGTAGGGCACCATAGGAGAATGAAAAAAATATAAGAATGAAGTTAGGCCAATTACGACAGGTCATATCGTAGCAAATATGATAGGAATTAGTTCCGATGGCTTTCTCTTGGGCCGTATAGAGGTCGATCTAATAAGGTATATTGCTAACTAAGGCGACTAGTGTCTGTATTATTAACAACCCCATTTTCTCTCTCTCCCATAGAAAACAGTTACCATCAACCCAAAAATTGCAGGATTCTGCTATCGATTGTTATTTTTGATATCTATATGCTTTATACAACACCGGCCATAGCTTACCTGGCGTCTTTGTGCTAATTTTATAGAGGGAGTAATTTTTTCCTGAAGATGTTTCATTTGTGTATGTGGACATTTTATTTATGGGGGTTAAACCTTCTTTCCCCTATTTCATTCATATTCATGTCACCCGTCCATTGTCCACTGTTAAATATAGGTTTCCCCCAAAAAAAGGTTTTTGCCAGTAGTTGTCACGGTTGTTTTAAAAGAAACGTTGCTGCCTATCCCTCGCCCTTCCTTAGTCGCCTTTTACGACATCCACGTGAAAGGAGGGGATGACCTATTCTATGCTAGGACCACACCATCAAATTCAGGGTAATTGAATATTATTGCTCGTTTTTTGCCAGTTGGTCAATGTAAGTATATTGTACATATAAGGTTGTATAAAATTGTATTACCTATAGATGATATAAAGAGTCATAGACATTAGGTACCTATGTGAGGTCTGTGTTATTATTGTTCTATCTATGAACAGACAGAGTTAACTACTTCCTTTAATTCATCTGTTTTATCACTTAAAAAAACAGAATGTGCTACCTCTTCCTTTCCTGCGGGTATCGTAAGAGACGACTACGGGAATTTAATCGTCGAATGGTGGGCAGTGTCCTTCTTAAAACATCAACAAAGCCTAAGTGACTTCTGGCAAAATCCCCCCTTATAGGGGAGGACTACGTTCATCAGTGGACAGTGAACGGTTGATATGATGATGATAATAGTGATATTAATATAAAACTCATTATCATAGTAGGTATAGAAAATTGTGGAGAAAGTAGTGACGGTAATTAGGTAATGTGACGAAAATTGGCAGAGAAAATAATTATAAAGAAAAACAAATGCCGCATACGAGATCTTTAATAAAATATTTCACCAGCCCCTAGATCTTAGTTATTACCTACCTATTTCAAACATTTCTATATATAAAAAAAATTCTACAGGATAAAGAGATCATTAAGTAAAATATTTCATTAACTCTTAATTCACATCAACTAGGTAACCTATAAGTATCAAACAAAACCATATGATGACAGTTTTAGAATTTATGTGATAGCAATCGTATTTTCTTTATAAACTTATATAATATTTGAGAAATTATAAACAACTGAATGCCATTTACGTACTATCTATAGGTAATTCTGCTATTCTAAATAAATTATACAGAAACACATTTTTTTCCGTAAGTTCAGATCGCATGAAAGTGTCAACTACATTTTAATAACGTGTTCTTTACTAGGCACTATTTTTTTCAATTGACACACCATATTTCTTACAAAAGCTTGTTTCTGTAGTGCTATTGCATGAGATTATAATATTGAATATTTTTACAAATACTTAATTATAATTATAATACTATTTGGTTTCCAATACTGAGTTCGCTTTAGTGTGAACATTCATTATACCGTTTTGAAATGCTACCTACGTAAAGTTTCCTAAAATTGACTCTACGTTGTTGAAGATGATGTTATATTTAGTAAGAATATTTAAAGCTTTCGGTCATCTATTTTCCTTTATTAAGTACTTCATTTAGTATTCCCCTCCATAAAACTCAGTAGAACATTTTATACTCATATGATGCCATTTATTGAGACTTTAGTGCTGTTTCAACTAACATAGAAAAAAAAACATTATATGAGTACTGTCTAATACTTTTTAAATAATTAAAAATGTTTAGTTTGCACCGTTTTTATATAATGTTAAACTTCAATCAAGCAGAGTTATTTGCGATGTATGTACACTAGTACTTTGTAACCATTGAAAAAATTGATTAATAGTACTTAGGTAAAGTTGTTACAAGATCTAATATTTATGCAATAATCATATTCTTACTTAGAAGAAGCCGCTCAAGTGAACTCTGCAATTTTAATGGAACACAATTGACAAACACAAATGACAACATAAAACACGCTACCTATACTATTGTCGATGTTGTATCTTTATTTAATCCTTATGTACAATTTCAACAATTAATTTAAATAGGTATAATGAATAAGCAACTCTTATTATTAGTATTATGTACTTATATACAATATCACAACCCTCGTGACTTTGTCGAGGGGGACTCATTTATCAAAATTGTGCACACTATGTAAACTCGAAAGCATTTTTTTTTACATCAACAAAGATTATGTTTGTGTGGTCGTAAGGGGCTAAATACATGCGATAAGTATCTACAAATTTCATATTAGGTTCACAAAAATATCATATTTAATATTTATTATATGTTCACACAATTTCAAGTCAGATGCTTATCATGGTCTTTAGCACCGAAATTCGTCAAAAAAGTCACAGTTATGGATCTGACGTAAAACATCTCAAAGGGTTAATAAATTGATAAGTTATATAAACATATTTTTTTACAGACATCAAAAGTACCTATGTGGATTCCATTTAATACCTACTTTTTTTTTTAAATAAAATAGTCCTACTTATTGTAATTTAATCACTATTATTGTACTAATTACTTACAAACGGGACAATTAACATACATTCCCATTAGCATGTTTCATAAACAATTAATCTAAGTAACAATTTAACATCTCGTTCCACATTATTATCAAAGCTTTATTATAGCTAATTATTTTAATATCAAACATGCTGACGTCAAATTGCCAATGACAGAGAATTTAAAAAGTACTGAATACCTACATACATTAAGACAGGTATACATGTATGCCGAAAATATTAGCAGAACAAAAAACTAAAACGAAAAAGTAATATAATAGTCAATAACCTACCGACATACTTGACTACAACTGCATACCTAACTACTCTCCGACCCAAGTAATTTTTTAGTCAAAGCTAAAAGTCGTTCGTCGTAAAATTCGACCAAAACCTTGCTTTATACCACGCATTCGGTATCTTTAAATCTTAGAACTTAGAAACTGACTAAGTATTCCTTAACATCTTAATATAAAATATAATATAATGTATTGACTAGACTGGATCGAATCGACAGCCCTAAATCTCTGAAGTTTTCAAATTTAGGTTTCGTTTGTTTAAAAATACTTAATTTTCATTGGATCAAAGGAATCATTCAATCAAAGGAAAGCGGCCTAGAGATTATAGACATCAGAAGTCATTATCCTCACACGAACAGTAGTACTTGACTTTCAATTCAAGTAGACTTGTACAATATAAATACTGTTAATACTTAATACATACATGTCTATCACGCCGGTCTTCTATTGGGATAGGCAGAAACAATAGAAAGCTAAATGCTTATATATTAATACATCTCTTGCTTATTCTTATAACAATTACGCAGTGCGTAGCGTTTGACAATTAGTATCCCTTAAGGAGCGACGAGCTACATCAAACTCTACGTTTATGCTTTCGCTTTCAGTGGTTAATCTTATTGTTTTAATTTTGTTTCGACTTTGGCTAAAGTTTTAGACCAAAAACTCGTAATTGTATGTACTTATTAAAAACATTATATTACTCATATATTCTTGCAATAATAAATCAACCAAATACTGTTAATATTAAGAAATTGTTGGAAACATATTATGTAACGCAATTTCATCCCAATATAAGCAAAAAGTTTATATATAGAAAACGTAGATGAGAATAGAAATCATTACTATGACTGGGTCGCTATGATACCGTTGCGGAAAATGCGATATTTATATATCACTCTTAGCTTTGACTAAAATTATAATATATTTTTTTACTATGTACCTATCTAAACTGTCGTATATTTTTACCCATTTTCCTTTTCACATTTTAGGCCTAGATATGTTAGTGTTGGATAGGCCGGATGCTACAAAACTTTATGTTCATTACAGTCACAAATTTTTTTCTTAATCAAATTTTGTAACAAACTGTAATGAATATGTTCAATATATTTAAAACTATTATCTATGTAGGTATAGAAATTCTGAATTACCTTGAAAGTTGAAATTTCGTTGGTTAACTAATATGGCTAACTTTCAAAATTGGCAAATTGGCACTATAACATTTTAGATCATGTGATTATTAAAGGCGTCTTGCTGATAAAGGCCACTGACCATAAATAAACATCAAATACATTGCAAAATATATTGTTTAAAATACAAAGAAGTACGATAAGGAATACCACAGAAAAAATATTTTATCTATGATATTTTTTTTTTATGTAATTTAGAATGGTAAACAAGTTGACGGCCCACCTGATACAAAATGGCAAACATCTCCTATAAACATGAACAGTACCATGGATGTCGATGTCATGATACCTTTCTTACGTACTTATATGTAATCAATAAATCTTAATTAAGTATTTATCAAAGTAGACGTCTTTCCGGATCATCTTTTCGTCTAATAACTTTAATAATGACTTTTTGTTTTATAAACCAGAATATTTTATTTTATTTAGGACGTATTGTCCTATGGGGTTTGTAATGGTAATTTGATTGACGGTAATATGTACTTGTACATACGATTGTAAATATCTACAGTAAAAACTGCAGTACAAACATAAAATAAGTACTCTTGTTAAGAAGGTATTTTGTTCTATTATCTATGGTTTGAATTATGTATTCTATTAAAAAATCATAAATATTAAAAGTACTTAATATAGTATGTATGTATGTATATAGCAATTTTCATAACGTAACACCACACGCAATATAGCTAATACAATTCTAGTAATGACATTTAAAATTACACTCTAAATTGCCCTACTTAAATCATAAAATATATACCCATCTACATTATATTGTGGGCAAATTTTTTTTAGTATTGTCATTGGCAACAATTGCTGTCCAAAATTAACAAAATACCTAAGTATACCATATTGATAAATAACCATATTAGCGTCATTAGAGTATTTACAACAGCATATAAAAATAATTTATCCAATAATTAAATTATATATTTAATATAAACAGGAGCAGTTTACATTCAAATTAAAATTTGCTCAAAAACTCTAAGACATAAGAGGAGAAAATAGTTCACTCTATTATCAATTACAGATTATTTTCATTTTAATTAATAGTATCAATATATTTCTTAGACATTCAATTTATTTCAATTATGTCAGTATTAATTTAAGGTTTGTTTACACACAATTAAATTACAATTAACGCGCTTTTAAGTCAATTTATTAGAGCTAATTTAATGAACTACACAAATTCACAGCACTCATTAGAAAGTGTTTGTTTAAAACTTTCATGTTATCATTTATATTCACTTTACTCTAAGGTTCTATACTTCAGAAGTGGTAACCTGTCGGGGTCACCACGACGGGGTACTCAGGTGTTGTCGTCGGAGGATTCGTCTGAAGAGGAACTAGTGAGGAGTGTGGACGCCATAGTCAGTTGACGAATGAATGGTTCTCGTGGCAGGCTTTGCTGGCCAAGCGGTAGCCGTCTGACTCCCATACGCTCGCTTTCTGGTAAAGATTTGCTGCATTTTTCCTCTGTGATAGCGTCACGAGATAATGATCTATAAACGATAAATTACAAATTAGTGTCTTATACAGAACATTAACGTATTTTATGAACTCAATAATAACAAAATTTTTTGTTGTCTCTAATTTATGTTATTATATATATATTGATGTTTTTTTTTTCTATATTAGATAAAACAATAAAAATGTAATTGTACAAAAAATCCTTACTAACATAAATGTGAAAGTGAGTTCGTTTGTTTGTTACCAGTTGACGCCTCGACATTATAACCAATAGCTATGAAATTTATTATACACAGTATATGAGATGGAGAAGGATATAGGGCTTTTATGCCAATACAATCCTGTACGAGGATAAAGAAGCGGTACAAGTTAATAATTATATGAAAAGTGGTGTCTTTATCATACCATATCAGCCGTTAATTTTCCACTGCTGAACATGGGCCTTCCTCTATTGGGATGTCTTGCAATTAGACATTGGTAATATTTTAAGAGGGATCCTGCTGCCCATCCCTCGACAATTAATTTCCTTTAGTCGCTTTTAAGACACCCACGGGAAAGGAAAGAAAACACACATTAATTAAGTACAGTTACTTACCCAGTTAACTCCAACATGGATCCCCTCCTACATTGTCCCCGATGCGGACCTTGCATTATGCTGGCAGGGCGAGAGGATGCACCCAATGGGTCTGAGTGTGCTACGTCCTCCATCAGCAGCACCGAAGGACCTCCAAGGCTCGTACTCCTCTTCGATAGTAAGCTAGGCCCTTGGCGTATTTGCCCTGTACTCTCGCCTTTGTTAGAAGATGTTTCTCCCTTACTACTTTCCCCTCTACTCCCTCCGTCAGAATCTGACGCTCCAGCCTCCATTGCGCCCTGCGTCGAACCAGAGCTCTCTCTTCGGAAGAGACCTATGATAGATTTCGGATGTTTTGGCTTCTCTATACCACCTATGTGTGGGTGATGATAATGGAGGTATTTTTACATAGGAGAGGAAGGGAGAGAAGAGAAAAAAATTAAATGAGAATATGTTGGTAAAATGTTACATATGGATAAATTTATCAAACAGTGCAGGATGTGAAATAAATTATTATCGATATATCTAAATAAAGATATTATATAAACTTACTTATCAGTAAATACGCTATTATAATGTTTATGAAAATTTATAAATGTAAACTATAAAATGATTAGGGTATAAAATACAGCGGAGCTAATGGACAAGCATTTTTCATTAAATTAGACATCATGCATCAAAACAAATATATTAATTCTAATAACACTTTAGAGCGTAATATTTCTTCATAATTTAGAGTAATAACATTTAATAATAGATCTACATTCAGTTATCTAAAAGGTATAGTAGAATAGATTTATAACGAAACTGCAGAATTAAGTACTTGTATTTTAATCACGTTACAAGCAGGATTAAATAGGTTTTCAGGTATATTTCAACTCTCAATTCAACAAAAGCTATATTAACATTACAATAAAGATTCATGATATTTTTTTTATTATTTTTTACACTTTAAGTTGGTAGTTTACTTACGCAAAACACTTAAGTCGTAAAACAGGTCGTTGAAATATGTTTTTGGGTATATTTAATGTGCAATATGTAACGCTAAATTGGTTACATAACATTATAATATACTGTTTTTTTTAAACATATTCATTGTGTCCATTTTATACTCAGTAGTCAATGAAGTATATAAAAAAAAACAAACAAAAATTATTAGCAGAAGCATCTAACACATGTTTTAACATGATGCAATATTCCCACAATACTATTTTGTTATGCTTGACAATAAGCTTATATTCACCTAGAAAAGTGGCTGAGGGTGAGCTGTAAGCAAGATATTCTTTGTTGGATGCCCACGACGGAAATTCTGATTGTTTGAGTGCGCCGGAGCCCTCTGCCTCCTCCCGTTTCCATGGCAACATGGTCTCGGTTGCCGTAGGGGTGGCGACGCGCGCTGTTTCCGCCACTGTCATATACGTGTCTGTAATTGAGATAATTCCTTTTGTTTTTATTATAGGAATGTACAGGGAGGGACTCCTTAATTATAAAAGTATGAGTAAGATTGTGAGACTGAGGGCGATTCCTTTAAGCGAAATGAGTGAGGTTGCTAATGTTTGTATTCTCACAAATTTAATAAAAACAATTAAATAAAACGTTATAATAAAAATGGCAGACATGGTGGACGAAGGTGGCTTTAAGCAAAGTGAAAGAAGGTCGCAAGGTTTATAATGTCTTAAACTGTTTATATCTTTTATAATGATGGCTCAAAAAACTTTTTAAATTATATCATAAGACTCAACAGCTATGTACTTGATTAGTATGTTTTTTTATACTACTGAGGTGTCAAATAAGCATACGGCCACTTATGATAAGTGGTTACCGTAGCCTATGAACGCCTGCAGTACCAGGGGCATTACGTGCGTGTTGTCGATCCTGATGAAACCTCTTTTTTGAGGAACCCCATGTTGTAGTCTCTTGGAAAACCTCGACAGGGAGCTTATTCCATAATGTGAGCGTTCGTGGAAGGAAACATCTCTGAAACCGAGCTATTTATTGATCATTATGTATTACCGTTTTCATCCGACATTCTTCTCTCGTCTTCTTCAAGGATGTCTTCATTGGGCACTAAAACATAAAAATAGTATTCACTTATCTAATAAGTTTAATTAAAATATTAAGTTAATCGAATTACATATTTTGACAATGAAATGTTTTTGCAAGTGTGGTATAATTAAGTAATGATTTTCAAATGTTTTCTTCAATTGATATGATCAGACTGAAATGATTTAATGTGTACAAACAAATTAATATAAATAATACATGCGGTACTTACGTTTACATAAATTATACTTAAGATATTGTTATGAACCTACGACACAGACAACCATATTATAAAAACTAATATAGATATTATAGTATTTGAACAACAATTAATTTTGACTATGTTATTATATACATCTAAACACTTGGATATCTACATAATGAATAAACACACACATATAAAGTAACTATACAAGTAACATAACAGATATATTTGTTATGAAAGCTTTAGACCAATATTAGTAGTTGTCTTCGTCATAGATATGAACTTAAATCTAATAAGCAGTGGATTTATATTAGATTGATTCACATAGCGAAAACATATACATGTATATTAAATACTAATGTAAACGTAGAAATTAACAAATAAGTAATAGTATGTGTTTAATAGTGTAACATGCAATTTTAGTATCTTGTTAAAGTGTGAAGTAGGTACCTTTTTTAGCGCCTGATGAAATACTGTCTGACATATGTTAACAACTCGTATGACTAATCAAGAGAGAACTGTGAACTATTCGTGATAAATAAGTAAATAATGTTATAAACTATAATAATATGCAATATAGTGTTGACATTAGATTAGACAACTGAAAGTGCCTAGGATAATATTATAATGAATATTTATATAATATTATTTTTGTGAATATCCAAAGTGCTAATATCTACTAACTCTACATATCTTTATTCTGCTATTAGCGTATCTATTGAAATTATAATGTGCCTTTTATTCTATTCTACTGCAGGTGTTAAAATTATAAACATTTGGATTTCAAACTATATTATTTGCAATGTAAAGAAAATGTTTATTTGTAGTACTTGAAGTTTAACTCAGTCTCCAATACGTCAAAGCAAAGAAGGTTTTTCTTCATGTATATGATATATAGTACCATATAGAGAAATTCACTTCACTGATAGTTTACTAAATTTATTGAAGAGCAGCAGTGTAATAACAAAATTATTAGAATTTCAAATCTATAAGTACTTGAATTGTTTGAGTAACATTTTTATAATCGCAAATTTAATGAAACATGATCTAGTACGACATAGAATGTAAAGTGAATTGATTCTCTCAGATCATCAGACGCAGTAGGCAATGACAAATTAAGTTTAGTTTTCAATAAACACATACCAAAGTTATACGTGGATCTGTCCCTTCTCCACGGTAAGGATTTCTCAACAGCTGTCGGCAGTATCTCTTCGGGTGTTTTAGCGTATTGCTTTACAATTCTCGCTTTCAAAGGATTGAATCCAGGTAGATTAGCCAACTGGTTTAAAAGCGAACTACTATTCTCTTTATGCGAGGACGTCGGACTGACTTCTTTATATCCAGCTTAACATCGCCAGTTGTCGAGATTATCGTTAGTTTTGCGGTGCCACATGAAGTTGCCAGAAGGGAAGAAAATGACAATCAAACAAACAATATTAACAAGCAGAAATGAAGAGCAGATACACGGGAACCGGGAGCGACTGACATTGTGGAGTCTAGCGGACTTACGAAAATGTGTTAAGAGACAGATTTTCAAAAGTATATAGCTTAATACGGAGCTGCCTCGGGGTAAGCAATTAGCAAAAAACGATGCGTGACTTTTACTAATGTGTAATAATTAATATTTTAAACATATAACTCTTATTGTACTTCATGGCCAAATATATTCGCATTATGGAGTATAATATTTTTAATTCGTTATCAATTTGATTAAATTTTTAACAGAAAGTAGAAGCAGTACCGTACAAAGTTAAAACAAAAGCACGTTTTTGAAAAATTGTACAAAAATAGTAAAGATTACATATAGAAGATTAGAAATTCATAACATGCCACCACAAATACGTATCAGCACATTCTCACAGTTGGTAGCCACCAGACCCAGGTCCCGGCAAATTAAATTACCATTGTATTAATAACGCTGGTATTCAATTATATTAAAGTTCACCATTTGATTAATGTTAAAATCTGAAGTGCAAATTAAGTGAAAGTACATTTTGTCCACAACATCTAATACTGTTTGGATTTGAATGAATCTGAAACTTTTATTAATATTATTGTTATATTAATTATAATGACTACTAAAGTCATTAATTCTGCATTTTCTCAGTTTATGTTAGTCAATCATTGTTTCAAATTACGTCCCTATTAATTAAAATGTGTGTAGAACCAATATCATCTGATTCCTTTAATCTGAAAAACAGATCAATAGCCTGTATCTTGATATAGATACTTTAATTATATTTAATTTAATCAGAAGCATGCATTTATTAGAACCAGACGATTCGATATTCAATTCCAAACGTAATGTCACACAGGGTGTCATGCAGAATACCTACGCGGAGATTTGGCAGTAAATGTAATACCGCCGTCATCACCTTCCCGGCGCGGCTCACGTTCCTCACAGTCCTCTTGTAGCACCTCGTCTATGTAGTCTGTAACACACCCCTCAAATTGACATAGCTGTTGCATAGTTGCAACTGAACTAAGTGTAGATATAACTATATTGTCTAGATTCAATGAACCTACTTATTACCTATTTATATCATTGTAGGATAGTGATTTTAAATATCACTTATAATTAATTGCTGTTCAATATACAATTACAATAATCGCAACATGCACTACAAATCAAAATCTCGTGTTATAATGTGATTTTAATTTACGCAAGTGGGTTTCAGAAATTTTTATATCGCTAGTGTAAGAACAAAGCTTGTGTGCTCTGCAAAAAAATTTAACAATGATATTATATAATTAAAACAAAACAATTTGGACCCACACGTGCATGCGATCGACACTCGTGATATTAAAAAAGTATAAAATAAGTACCTAATCTATAATACTTTTTTTTACCGTGCGTGAACTGTTTGGCCGAACCGTTTTGCTGGAATTCTGGGAAAGTGACATGGTTTTTGCCATCCTGCAAACATACGATATTCAATTGATGAGTAATCAATAAAAGTAGTAACGCAATTTTATAAATAATTCTAAGATATTACTTTATTAACCTGATAACAAAGTTTGTCACGTAAGAATCTACTTAGGTTAGGCATTTACTTATGCATGATACACCTTACCTGCTTTCCACGTTTACTGCGTTTATGGTGATGCTTCCGATCGCCAACCCGCCGCCGTATATTCATGTGGGTTTTGTAGTTCACCTGCTGAATGCCGAGGTCCCTATCATTTACAGCATGGCGACTGTAGCTCAGACGTCGATGCTGTGAAAAATTGGGAAGATCTTTGAGTACTCCTAACTTAATCGTATATGAGACATGAAAAAAACAAAGTCCTGGATGTTTGATAATTATTAATTACAATATAGTGGTGCTTACACGTCTGAATGGTTTGCACAATTCCTCAGCTAACAAGTGGTGAATTTTGGCATCGGTTAAATCTTTCTTCGATGGATTATACTCCAATTCTTGCATGTCTATATTCCATGTTGAAGAGTCCAGTTGGCTGAAGCTTGGACTGGAAAAACAAAAAGTTTTTAAGTATTCTTATTAGATAATATTACCATTATTCTACATTTCCAACCGACTTCAAAAAGAAGGTGATTCTCAATTCGGTTGTATTTTTTTTTTATTTTTGTTGCTTTATAGTTCCATCGGTTGTAAACCGATTTGGAAAATTATTTTATCAGAAAAGATAAACTTACAAATTGGTCCTATAGAACTCTTAACAAAATTGGTTCCGTAGTTTAATTTTTAAAATAAAATAACTGATTTAGCCGCAATTGAAGTCTTTTTTTTTTTTGTAAAACAAAATCCTTAATTATTATTTATAATATTTTCAGTATGTACAATTTGTCAATATGAATATTGACAAATTTGATATTAAACAGTTAACTTGATACTCAAGGAATGAATTATGTGTTGACGTGACGTTCATGAAATTATGTTGACATCTTTTATCGTAAATTTAACAGACGACTCCTTATTGTTCTCGAGGTAGATATAAATAGAAGAAAATATACCTTCCATTGAAATTCGCATTGGTATAGTTCTTAAATATAGCTGACATCGATTCGGCACCAGATATGTTGCCAATAGTAGAAGCATTTCTTTGCATATATTCTATAGCATCTTTCATAGCTAATTTTGAGTACGTCTCCAAAATTTTTGGTTCTGCGCCCTATAATTGAGTAAAATAAATTAATGTGTATCGTAAACATATCAGACTAATATGTTTCTATAACTTTTAAATTAGTCGAAATTTTCTTACTGTTTATTAAGAGAGCGTTAAGTAATAAATTAGAATAATTTAGTCTTACCTGATAATTTCTAAGCAAAAACGGCCTAATAAAACGATTATCAAATCTCTTGAATTTGTCACGCATGTGGTGATTTCCGTGTTTACCTAAAATATCCTCTATACCTGCCATCAGGTGGTCCATAAACTAAAAATAAAATAATATTCTTAGTAATATATAGTGTCATATTATTATTATATTGTAAAGGAAATTCCATTGCCTTATAAAATAAAAAAATAAAAAATGTTGCGTATTTCCGCTTACCCTTTCATGTATTCTTTCATTCATGGTCGGTTTCCTCTTTTCTGCTGTTTTGACATTTAGTATTTTGACTAAGGGTTTTATTGTGATGCCCTGTATAAATACTGTGAAGTATATTACTGCTATAGTAGTAGTGACGAACATAGGTTGGAGTTTCACCACTTCTGGGTCTATTAATAGCACCAATGCAAAAGCGACTGCGCCTCGGAGACCTAACAAAAATATTTTATTAAACGTTAAATTATAAATAGTATGATTTGAAGAATCATATAAAAAATATAAATACTCTCTATAGTCCTCTATAAGTGACGCATTTGATCAGAGCATGTTGTATTATAAATATTATTATCGATTTAAGAAATTAAATCTTACCTCCGTATGACATAACAAATTTTTCGACCCTATTTAGTTTGTGCAATCGAAACTTATTAGCTACTGCGCTAAATATATACACGCCTGTAACAAAAACATGAAATGTTTGAAATTTATAAAAGTAAAAATGTATTTAAATATTATACCTATATGAGTACTAACTCATAAAGTGAACTTTTTCGTTCGTTTTGGATAAAGTTTCAGATAACAGAAATATATTCAATTAAAAATTCATTAATACAGACTTTGTAACAAATAACACTTTATAAATAAATTATAGATTAGTTGCGAGAAAACTTCACTGTGGCATGTAGCGAAATAATAGTATGTACAGATGTTGTTTTAGTAGCTACATTTCTAAGAAGGGTACGGAAAAGGAACATTTGTATCATATCTAACACGTAATAGGATTACGACGAGCTTCAAACATTTACATTGGATCTATTATATTTCCTATGGTTTATCCATACGACTCAAAGGTATTCCACCAACTTAATTCGATTGTATATTTTACGTATATGAGTGTAGGCTTTTTATTTTAAACAAATTTTGATAGGTAGTTAATTCTTTTTCTAATGAAAATCAGCAATCATTTTTCCCTTACCTATAATCCGAAAGATTGAGCAGAAAACAATGGTGAGTAACACAAACCACGTGTTCCAATCGTGGTTATTGTTCACGGTGGCGACACCGAGGAACATAAAGATGATAGTCTCCGATGAGGACGAGAGCATCTTCATCGTGTATTTGATCGTGGTGTGAGATTTGTGCGATATGTTTGCCTCGACGTAATTCTTCATTGTAATACCACAAAATGTTATCCTGAAATGAATCGCCTCGCAGATAAATGAAATGACCATTATTACATTAATTATATATGTTAGGTATTGTTAGCTTTTGTAGCAGTAATTTCTATGTGACATTTGAATATTACATAATGCAATAAGAGCAGGTAGTATTGTGAAAAATATTAAGTGCATAGATTGATTCGCAGTCTTTTTTCTATTATTTATAAATTTTATTAGTATCAAAATCTTTTACGTAGTTAATAAAATTAAGCGAACAACGAAACGGACACATGTGTACAGACTTATTTTACACTATTTATATATATTCACTCATATTAGGGTTTAATTGACTAGATGAAATCTATACCTAAATTTAGAACTTAATAATAAACAAAATTATATAACAATACTTACGCCAGTATCCCACTCATATGGAACATTTCAGCGTTTAAATACGCTAAATATGCCATGACGAAAATAAAAATGGGCTCAATGACACGGACCTCATGGGTGAACCGTGTAACAAGTCCTGTGGCGAAACCCCAGACAACACCAATGCAGGTGCCTCCCACTGCGACTACCAGAAAAGAGGCCAAACCAGCTAGGAAGTCGGTGTACATTAGGCGAGACGGGCCCATTTCTCTGTAGAAATATGATTTAATACTAACACATGTATTATATTTTTAATAGTAGATTGAATCGTATTATAATTGTATTGTAAAATTTTTATTGTACATAATTTATATTAGACACATTAAAAAGATACAATGGCGGACTTATCCCATAGGATCTCTTACAGTCAACCTTTGAGAAGCTGAAAGAAAACTATAGAATGTTAATTTTAAATATATTTGTATCTGATTTATTGAATTAATCATTTTATAATTATTTTTTTGAAACTATTATTTATGTAATAGAACGACTAAAACTTTTCAGTTTATTAGCTATTTTGGGTAAGTATAGTGAAATATTTATGTTACTAATGTGTCACTCAAAAATACATCCATATTTTATTGTAAGTACAATTACATATATTATACCCGATAAACTATTATTTAGCAATTTGCTATTTATTTAGTGTTGATAAAAATCTAAGATCATAAGTACTTACGTGTAAGCTTCAAACATATGATACAGGACCACAGTAACGGCGTCATTCAAGAGTGATTCTCCGAAGACTACTATGTACAAGACTTCATCCACATGAATTTCTTCGAATACAGCCAGGACGGCGACTGGATCCACCGCCGAGATGAGAGCACCAAATAGAAGCATGTCCAGTAGTGGTGTAGTGCATCCAAACATTCCGGTTTGACCACATGCCCACAAAGATGCTCCTAGTAAAATAAATATACTATTCTTCAGTCGTTGAAAACAGAATTTTATTGAGAATGTTCAATAACAGTATTCAATCAGATATTTATTTCTTGTATCTAGAGCAAGTAATTAATTTCATGTTGTTCTTTTTTAAATAAATTTCGTGGAAGTATACATGGAATTTATATTATGTAGATACTAGCTTTTTGTCCGCTACTTCATACGCGTAGACTTCAGGAGTAAAAAAAACAATTAAATAGATCACTTCTAATATACCAATATGAAATAATAAAATTAGGCCTTTATGAACTCAAGTGTGTAAATAGCATTCATTTTGGTGTAGTAGTTTTTACGTGATGTCGGAACAAACATTTTTTTTACTTCTCCCCTCATACAATTTTTTCTAAATATCTCTCATGTACAGACATTGTCTAGTTTCAATTTTATTATCTTAGTAGTATTAAATACGACGATTTTAGAAATATCTTCTAAAAAACTCACCGATGGTCAAAGTGTTGAAAACGGTCCCAACTACAGCAAATAATAAAATCGTTCCAAGGTGATCGAAAAATAATCTGTTTGGCATAAAGTATCCGGCATCCAAAATAATCGGTGGCAGCATGTACAGGAAGAATGTATCAGGCGTCAGTGGTTGAACGTGAACGCTGTGGGTGCTTAACAACAAGGCACCAATAAGTACTCCGACGAAGATAAGGAGGCATGATTCCGGAAACATCTTCGAAAATCTCGGCGCCATGTGAAAACCTGTAAAGAATTTGATCATTAAACCTTCTTAATAAGGAAAGAATAAAAGTCGTAAAATTGTCATTTGTATTAAATACAGCAAAATGTCAAATCAAAATTGTTTTATATGAAATAAAAAAAAGTGTAAATCAAATAAAATTTAAAAAATCATACAGTTACTTGAGTTGCAAATGAGTTATATTATTATACTAAATAAAAGCAAAAATTTACGCTTGTATTAAACATACGGTATTTCTATAAGGTAAAATGCATGTTACTAATGAAAAGACACTACCTCAAGCGAAATCATATACCAGTATTTATGAGATATTTGGATCTAGTCCCTTCAATAATGTGCTATATAAAAATTTAAAAAAATGCAATGATAATGTTCCAATATTTAAAGCAACCTGCGGCGATACAGGTATTAAGCAATCAAATAATCCTTCAGAAATATTAAATCAGACATCTTACATAACATATGAAAAATATCACGTTTTAAATAAAAATACTAGCCACAAGTCGATAATCCGTTCCACGAGCACTCTGTTTTATAACTTAGATGACATTGCAAAAAGGCACTCATTTTACTATATTTCCGAACTCGGTTCATCAAATGCTAATATGCTGTTAAATACAAATAGATTCAAAAAAAGTCTAATACCATAGTTCAAGAGTGTACTATACAAATGCATCCTAACATGGCACCTAAAGATAGCAGAGAAATTATTTCAAAGAAAATTAAGAAATGTTTTCCTGACGATGATGAAATTTCTTCTGAAATTCTCTTAAAAGACGATTATGTAGACACTAAAATAAAAAATCATTATTATGATAGAGACATCAATGACAGACATCAAAAATTTTGGTCTTATGCAAAATATCGGACAGAATATACTAATCCAGTTTCGGAAGAAAAAAAACGCAAGAAAAAAGATCGCGGTAAACGTACTGAGGATCCATGTCCATGTCAACTATTTTCGTATGCTTGTCCTTGTTCAGATAAAAAGTCTTTGACTGAATTAGCACAAAATAGTAAATCATTGACAGTAGCACATGAAATTACCAGTACAGCAAAAAATTTATGTGAAGCACCAAGAGAATCAAAAGTTACCAAGACGAAAGGCAACAAAACTGAATCAGTAAGAAAAGATAAACCTACCAATACCAGTGTCAGTGAATTTAATAATTATGATATCATCTTTTCGAGAAATGATCCTAATGTTAAAGTTTCCAAACAACATGATAGTTCAAATTTAGTTCATAATAGACAAATGAATGAGAATGGAAGTATAAATAGTAAAATTAAATGTACTAAAAAATACAGAAAAGTAGTATGTCCAAATTGTAAAGAAAAAGTAGAAATTATGAGCACTACAGAAGAAGAGGAAAGTTTAAAATACAATAATTTTTCTGCATATAAAATTCCATCGAAATCATATAGTCACAGATCATCGCCCAGACAGAATAAAACAATTAATGATAATGACATTTGTAATCACGAACCACGATGTGAATTGGTTCCAGTATGTCAAATATTACCTACTGACAATATCTATGTGAATCATAGTATAAAAAAAACTACTCCGAAATCTAAACCGCGCGTAATAAGCATCACTAAAGCCTGTAGACATCATCCACCCTGTACTGTTGTGCCATCATGCCAGAAAGTAAAAGTATTAAAAAACAATTGTGAGTATATACCACCTTGTTTACATCGACCTCGTTGTGTTAATGTACCACTATGTGTTTCGTTTTCAAAAAATCTCTATTACCATGAAACGGCAAACCTTGCTAATGATGCAGAAAATAATATTTGTCCTTATATTCCAAGATGTAAATACATTCCAGAATGTCAAAAAGGTATTAGCAGCAACATAGAAAATTCCACTCATATGGTTTCTCGTGTACAAAACGCATGTGAATTTTTAAATGACTTTCACTCATCACCATATAGCATTCATTCGAAATCACGATGTTTGGTAAATTCATTTTCTCCGTATCAAATTCAGTCTCTAAATCGATATAATTGTTGTAAATCAAATAAATCGTGTCAATATGATTGTTTGGATTGTAAATGTAATGTGACTAATATAATAAAAGAGAACGTGAGTAGTGAAACAGTTATATTCATAAGAGACGTAGGTTGTCAATTTCGAAACAAAAAGCGTACATCTAAGAATTCTACACTCCAATCAAAACATTCCATTACCTCATTCGACTCAGCAGACAATAAGAAGGGAGGCTACTATACAAATGTCCACACTTTAATATATGAAGATAAGTTCACAAACCCAATTTTGGGTACTAAAGCATCAGCGTCAACCCTATCAGTTACTTCCTTTGAGATGGATAAGCATTGTTTAAAACAAAAGACAATGATTACTAGTAACACTCGCGGTCAAACTACTGGATTTGTTCCAAAACCTGTAACATCTCCGTACATTGGTGCAGTCACTACTTACACGGGAACTGTTGCTTCCAGAATATCTATACAAAATAATATGGAGGTGAAGAATCAAGATGTATATTTTAAATGTGATCAAAATAATACATTCCCAGTGACGTCTCACCGAAGTTTATTAAAAGGAAAATACAAAAAGATGTTTTCTGTTAAACGAAAAAGGAGATCTCGAGTAAGCAGCCTTAATTTCATTGGGAGATCAAAGTACGCACATTATTAAAAAAAAAATGATAATATACGATCAATTGTAAATTTATTAATATTAAATTGTATTAGAGTGCATAGTTATTATTCGTGACATGGATACTGATTACTTAAATAAATATAATATAACAATATTTACATTATTATTATGAACTCTGTTTACATAATAAACTACAAGAACTTTCTGTTTCTCGACGTAAATAATTAGTGGATCGCAAATGACTGATGCGTCAACGTCCACTGGCATTAGAGAGTACTTTTAAATTTTTTTTCTTATATCAAGAATTCGTCCCTCCAGCCATATGGAAAATTCTAGTTACTTCAATAGTTACCATCGTCTAAATAGATTATCAAACAATCCTATCTTACAATATCCTTTATTTCAAAGGCCGTGGCTTTCTTGAGAAAAATATGTAACTACAAAAAATATTCATAAAAGCTTACGACCAGCTTGGAAACTATAATACGTGTATTCAAATTACAGTGGAAACGGCGTTGGCACAAGTAACTCCAGTTTGAGGATAAAATTGATTTACAAGAAAATAAAATTTTTAAAAAACTTTTATACGTACTTTCCGGACAACATATATATCTTTGATATTCGAATGGAGTTAAATAAATCGACCTAGAAACTACTTTAAGTCAGGATATACGTTTAATAATATAATGTAATTAATAAAATCATTACTAACATTTTAAATGTAACTATACTTTAACACCGATCTTCATGAAATATGATTTACGCGTAGCATTTGGCATGAAGAAGACTAATAAAATATACTATTATACTATTCATGCAACATTTTAAGTATTAACATTCGCCTATACTATAAACATGAACGTGATATTCTATCTACTTCTATTTCTTCTGCTGTGAAATAACGATAACACTGGTATCTAAAAAAAGAAAAGAAAATTCTGCCAGCAGTCAATTACTTTACACCTGTACTTTTTCGTACCGATTTTGATAATTCTTTTTACATATAACGGTATTGATCGTATATTATTTTTCTCGTGATTGAACTTACTACCTTTTTTTACTAAATAGAAATATTTTATGTAAATTTTTTCGTAGTGTTGTATTATGTAACTACCATTAGTAGGAGGAGGTTGTAAAAATCGTCAATATAGACATTTCGTTATACATAAATATATGCTTATATACTCACATATGAAAAAATAACATTGGGACTATAAAACAGCTCATAGAATACGCAAAAGCGCCATAGGTAATTGTACCTATCAAGTTTCTAAATGTGTATGGCTTTATTGATGCCCAAGTTTCTAAGAAACCTTGGTCCGCTTCACCGCTTTATAAAGTTGTGACATTCGAACCTGTACTTTCACTCGAAATATCCTATTTCAAGTAACGTACAGTGTAGTAGGTATACAATTGGTATGTTCGTAAAAGGGAAAAATTTTATACATAGAGACGTCCATGAAGAAAGTGGTTCAAAGATAGAATATATGAGATTACGTGGCCCCTTTTGTTTGCAATTGAAGATTTGTTATGTATATAGAATACCAGTTACGTTTCAAATATATGAAATATTCATTATGTTTGCTTTTAATTATCATTAAACATTATTAGGTTGTATAATTGGACCGAAATGTCTTTACGAAATTTATTCGAAAATTAGGAAGATGGTTACCTTAGATGAATTATTATATGTTTTATTACAATCTTTGAAGTTAATCAGATTAGGGAACAATTTGACTTCTCTATAAGATGAGATAGTAGGTACATTAATATTTTATTTAATTCTACTCCAACAGTGATGCCAATACTATAGAAATAATATGGAAGATAAATCTTATCGACTGCAAACACTTATTATGCAAATCTGTTTGGAATTGTTAAAATATCCCATAACACACAAAATACAAGTGAATGGTTGACATATTTTTGTGTGTCAAGCGACTTCAAAAAGGTCGAAAAGTATCTCAGTAAAGGAAATATAAGGATAATGAAAGAAAAAATACTCACTGATATACATATAAATATACGGCTTAAGCCAATAAATTTTAAACCAAAGTTCCCTTCGTGATATATAGGTGTACACAAAGAGAGGGTTTTAGATATGCCCAAGGGAACAAAAGATATTCTGTACCGCCCCGAGGAAGCCGTTCACGCCTTTATTCCTTTGATGTTGAGAGAGACTGCTGAAGGCCACCTACTTCTGTCATATTTTGTCAAATCTTCAATATTAATTCATCTTATACCCGTTCGCCCATTCTATCAAACATTTTGCAACATCTAAATCGGAGTACAGATTTCTAGTACCTATCTATTGTTACCTAATAGCTAATATAGATGGACATATTTAGGTATAAATTTAAAGTTTGAAATCATGGCTGTATAACAAATATATGTATGAATCAAATTTATTTGAGTGAAAAGATGCTCTGTATTTCAACTTTTCTAATATCCCAACTACTTTGTCTACTTTGAATTAAAACAAACAACATTAACTTATAGGACAGAATCTATAACAAGACACGATTTCTTCAAAAGTTTATTTTCAATACACCATATTTTTGTAAAGAGACAAGATATGGTTCATCACATGTAACTCAATATATTGTAAAAATGTTAATTTTATAGCTCTATATTATTATACATACTCGTATCTATATCATAAAGGATTAGACCAGATAAATCACACCTATTTGTATTTTATTATGTTTAGAATTAAATTCTACATACAATATTATTTTTATATCGCTAGTTCCCTATTGATTAAATAACAATCAATCCTTACATCTACATCTCATACATACATATCTCTTCTTATTTACGTTTCTGATTAGATAACTGAAAATTATTAATTGTAAATTGTTCTTATTGAAATATTATTAAAATATGAATGTCATAGTAATAAACATGACATTTCATTTTTTCATAATATTTTCTCTTGTATCATTATAAAAAAAAAAAAAAAAAAAAAAACACTTACCGATTTTAGCAATACTAGCGAAAAAGATCCACAGTCCAATCAGGAACGGTGTTTCCACCCTATGAAACTCGAAGGCGGCGATCACGAAGGTCCTTTCTTTCTTCGGCTTGATGGTGGCCGGTAGTTCGGTAGTGGTCTCTTGGTTTTGACGCAGTTGGGTGCCAAGTGGCTCGCCGGGCAGTGGCACCACGGGACCCATCGGGCCAAACCCGAGTCCCGGGTATGTGGAGCTCCCATCGACAGTAATGGACGGATTTTGTCTTGTGGTGCTCTGAAAAGATTAGATTTGGGTGTCAATTAGTTCGGCACGTATTACCATTTAAAAGTAAAATAATTATATAACATGAAAATAATTTTTAAATCTATGGAATATCATAATAAATGCCTAATCTAAACTAAACTATCGATAGATACGTCTTCGCTGTTATATGTATAAGATAGAACGAGACAGCAACGTCTGGTGTTCTTTATTATTTAAACTCGTCATGTACACATTTTATATCCAACAAACAATAAATATATATATATATATACGCAGTAATAATAATTTTAATTTTTTTTATGCAACTTAGAATGGAAAATAAGCTCATAGGGGGGCTATGAGCTTGTTTTCCATTCTGGTTTCATTTCATTCATGGAAAGTGGTAACCGTCGCCTATGAACATAAACAGTCACATGAACACAACAGAGTATATTGTATCGCCCATGGCACCTTTCATACTAATAGATTTGTTTTTCATCTAAAACTAAACCATTAAAACGTATTTGATAAAATTTCTACTTGACAAATATATCTTATTTTTCTGAAAGGATATATTTATCCTTATAGCCAAAAAAAATTTTTCTAATTGGTTTACTAATAACAAAGTTAAGAGGAAACGAACATAAAAAAGTACAACCGAATTGAGACCCTTATTTTTGAAGTTGATAGGAAAATATTGAAGGAAACCTAATTCAAATATGAAGAATACAATGTTCTTAAGTAATATTCGTAACATTAAGTAATTCTATTAGTAATATATAAATGAATAAAATTAACCTAAACGTCCGCCTACAATTTATACCTTTTTAAAAAGTGTTACTGAAACAAGCGTATTTAATTAAAAGCGATTGTAATTTTACTTTCTTCGTTTTCTAACTTAAAACGTCTAATAATTTATATTTAATTAATATCGAGCTCAAAAATTTTCATTTTTAAGGATTCTTTTATTTATTGTTTAGTTCTTCATTTTTAGCTAGAGTTTTCATTAAAATAAAATATTTTTCTACAATAATTAAGAATTTTCTAATGAAGCCTTTTTATTTATAAATATGTAGAGTATAAAATATAAATCTTTTAGTTATTTGCAGAAAAGTAAAATACCTAAATACGAGTATTTATACGCATATAAAATAGTTTCTTTGCAAGTACAGACATAAGTTTGTAAAGACTTTTGTTACTCGAATGACTGAACAGATTTATATAAAATTTCGTTTAAAGACAGACTATATTTAGATTTATAACATACCTAGGATACTTTTACTATTATATAACAAGTAATGACTGGAATTAAATTTCATGTAATACATGGTATCGGTAATTAAAATGAAAGCAGATCGTTTCTGATAAGATGAAAGGTAATAACTGTTAATATAAAGTTATTCGAAAATGAATATTAATATTGTTCGAAGGTTACAACTTAATCAAAACTCTCTAGACAAAGCGTGGCCATGAATAAGGTCAAGTACTGTGCTTAGCGACTAGGAATAGTCCATAAGAATAAGGTATTCTTATGCCAAGTTCGTGAAATAAAGCTATCAAGTGAGACTAGTAAACTTCGTTGAGGCTTATAAATTTTTAAATTATTATTATTAACAAATTTAATAAATACTTTTAGATAATGAAAAAGACCCAAATACACTTAATATCTGGTAAATTAATAAATGTAAGAAAGAAAAGCAATAAATTTAACATTCATTTTTGTGATCTCAATCGGTAATACGTAGAAAATGTTCATATATACATACATACATATCTGTCACGCCTGTCTCACATTAGAATAGGTAGAAACGATTCATTCCTTCCTCTATTTCAACAAAAAACGGGTATGGATAATTTTGTATGGGTCAGAGACATTGTTTATATTTCATAGTGAGCAGTTAACTTTATTACAAAATAACCATAAAATTAAGTCTACTACCACCACCCATACGAGGGTGTCGCCCACTGATGTCAAGGATTTAGACTGCCTTCGTTATATTTTTTATGATTCTTGAATGGTCAAACAAGTCGATAGTTTTCCTGATGAAAAGTGATTACTACCGCCTATAGACATGAAAAGTACTATGTACATAAAATAATAAATCACACTTACAAAAAAGCCTCTACCGTAATTAACATCAGAGCTAACAAAATTTTAAAATTACACAAATCCATATGTAAACGTAATTTTGTAATTTTAAACTTAAATAGGTATATCAGTCTCTGTATAATTTAGTTACAAGGTCCCTGTTATATAATTTGCTCACATTAAACTGATCTTTCAAAATATAACGTTTCCCTTATTAGCCACTCAAGTCAATAAACATCAATTGAAAACGACGTCAAGTTTACCCATATCTCCCTATACATTGCTCTATGTACTCTTGCGGTATATTCGCTCGAGGAGACGGTTGGCATAGCAACATAGATAAGTGTATAGAATTTCCACATCAGCTATTTAATGAACATACTGCTACGTACATGAAACAGACTGTTTCAATTCAATTAATGAAAATGTAAATAAACGAATAATCGATTTGACCGTAATGATGATGTCCAATAATAGTACAAATCAAAAATCGATTATTTGATTGTTCGATTTGTTACTAACTTCATTTAAAGAGTATTTGTGTGTTTTGATAAATATAATAAAATTTGTTTACCTTTTCAATAATTTCTATTGACACAGATTATAGGTACTAGCTACTATGGTGCTACTTTAGTCAATAGTGAATGTCTTAGAATAGTAGAACACAAAACAAAAACATAAAATTGTTCCGGCAGATCACAGTATCGTTATTGTTCTGTGCCCTTTACTCTCTAAACATTGTTTATAAGGGGGCACGGTAGTGCTCCCACCAAGGCGAGTCCCGTACCATCCTATTCTTAAAGCGACTCAAGAGGACATATCATAACTGGCTATATTGACAATATATCTAATAACTATACCTTATAGTTTAGGAAATATCGCTATTTAAAGTTCTTTAATTTTGTCATGAACACGCTCACCGATCATCAAAATACTAAGGAACTATTAGCAGTTTTACAAATTTAAATATTGAATTTAATTAGCATTTATCCTAAAAAAAAATAAACAAATGAAAAATACCGAAATTTCATTACTCGTTTTCATGAAATGAAATACTGTGATTATTACAAATTACGTTGATTTATTCAAATAATGTATCGTGCTTGTAGCTAACGGACAAGAAAAAAGATGTCTCAAGAAAAAAGGAGAATGAGGTACAAAAAGAAATGAGATCGTATCAAAAACATAAAATGTAAAAAAGTCAATGTCCTTTCACGGATCCTTTAGTCTAAATCTATCTGGTTTTGTCTTTTACGAGTAGCTCTTGTATTCTTTCAGTTTCTGTTTTAAAATTTGCCGCTTGTTCTTCACTTTTAAAATATAAGGAATCACACTAGCAAATCCAAATCAAAATAGTTGAAAGTGTTGCCAAAAAACATAAAATAATTTTATTATAGACAAATACTAATAATACAAATATCGTGTGTAAGATTACTTGACTTGAATTAAAATTGACATAAAAATATATAACTAATTGTAAATGCATACATGTATACACATGTATTTTTGCAGCTATATGGAAGAGTTTTTTTTTAAGATGAATATATAAAATGATAAATAGTTACATATAGTTTATTATTAACTTTTACAAATACATTTTATAACTCTAGCTGAAAAGCAGTAAAATCTGAAACGTTGGTTCACTGAAATACTTATTTCTGTCTTTCGCAATAAAATGTCTATAAAAACAAAACGACTGCCCAATGCTTCAAAATGTATTTAATTTCTTAACTTGGTTTTCAGATATTTACACTAACAAACATTATTTCATTATATATAATAAGTAATATTTTAAGTATTTATAATTTTTTAAATGTCAAATAGTTTTAAATGTTTGTGATATCTTCTTCGATTGTTCTTCATTTTTTTTTTTATTATTAGATAAAAGGATTAATTATATGGATGGTCTAATTGATAAAAATTAAAATGTGTTTTTGTTTTTAAACAAACATATTTAATATAAAAGTTATTAGATATATTTAAATAATTATTTGGTGTTTATAAATCCGCAGATCCTCTACCTGATAATATTCGTTGAAGGCATATATCTATTTATTATTTACATTTATATAATTGCAAGATAAACTTTATAAAATGTCATATTAGAAAAATTAATGCTATTTTTATATGTGAACATGCGTATACTAAACGTGTGGACCTTGTGTATAACAAGATAAAAACTTATTTAAAATCCAATACATACTGGATATTTCTATCATCTAGTATTAATTATCCTGAATTAAATTGTAAATACCAAATTTTTAATTCAAAACTACTTAATACAAAGTGGTTTGCTTGGAACACAAACTATTCTGTGGCTAAACTATTAAAAGAGATGGGTAAGTTTAGGGATGGCATTTCACAGTTATGTATACATATTATATTTATCTACATTATTATGACGCTCATATATTTTAACGTAATATTTCTTTACATATTTTACTAATAATTATCTCTAAGAAGAAAATTAGGCATTAATAGAAAATAGATTAAAAAATGAGCTTTAAATAGCATTGATATTATGTGTCCTATACAGAGGACTCACGGTTATGACGCATTCTGTTTTTACTGACGTCAATGAAGACATTTTGAGAAATCTTTATAGCTTTATATTCATATTACAAAGGATACGACAATCCTTTATAGCGATAGTATTTTATTAAATAAGAAAAAAACTGGATGTGTTCATTAAAGTACTTACGTGCTTTTTTTTCGATCGATTTAGCAGTTACAAATGTTCAAGTATCGGAAGCTGGTACGTGACACACCTAGTGTACTACTAGATAGTCTATTTATTACGTAAATATATATACATACATATATATATATATATATATATATATATATATATATATATACATTTTATATACGTATATACATATATACGTTTACATAAATGTATAACTGGACAACCAGAATTTAATGATTTTGCTATGTTTGTAGTCAATTGTTTCGAGTTCATCCACAAATCTTCTTCAGAATGAGAGCAGCGTCTCGTCTCGTACTTCCTAATGAAGGCGAGAAAATTATGGAAATGTAATAAGTAAATTAAATATTACCATTTACGCTTTCGTGCTGCATGTTTATAAATAAATGTACTTGAATTATTTCGACGTTACACCGGCCGCGGGCACCAGTAGGCCAGTTGTCCAATTATAGTTTTACATCTTAATATAAAAATACCATATTACATACACTGCGGTACTGACCTCAATAGGCGTAGCATATGCAATCGGGAATAAAGCCGCTGCAACCAGCAGCGCGAGGGCCCGCCTGCATGCCCGCCTGCTCAAATTGACTCCATGCTTCAGGGACGTCATGGCGCACTCAACTCATCGGTTACACACACATACAAATAGATTTTTATTAACAATATTTTGGTGCATATTTAGTCTTCACTAATACATTTATACTAGTTGTTGACAGACTGCTTCAGAGGCACACACGATTGAACTCCATGCGTATATTGCTAAAGAGATTGAAACATGTATGAAAATCGACTATTTAAAATCAGTTAATAAAATGATCAATATTTAAACGAAATACGAATAAAAGGAAATATTGACGACGCATAAGTTAACTTCGTTCTTCTTACTCTGATTCGAAACGCTGTTGATAAGAGTGGGTAATGTTGTTGTTTCTTTGTATTGCATGCATATATGCTCAATCTTAAATTAGATACGTATAGCAAAACAATGTAGGTATTACAAAAATCAATATTACATTTTTCCGTATACATAAATGAAATATTTAAATGATAATATTCATATAAATATCTTGTAGTTACGAGTAAGTATCCACTTAATATTAGTAGATATAAAATAATCCTCAAAAAAGCGTCGCATTAATATTTATAAAACATTTATTCAACAATGCGACTGTTTCTGAATTCATTCACATTTGGTTGACAAATTGCTGCTTTATGGCATGGCTAAAGAACGGAGCAGAGACGTTATAAAGGTCGGTGGTGAGCGACGCCGACAACGCGGCGACGCCGCCGCGCGACTCCAAACGAGGGCTGACACTCCAGAGACAGACGTAACACAATTAAATTATATTACAAAACATCAGTATACATTTTCCATCCGTGAAAATAATTCTTGTTTATTTTATTAATATAATAACACTGGCTATATACCGCTGTTTTGCCCATGTGAATTAGTACATAATCCTATGTGCTAAATTAGAATATATACTTATTTTCATTCAAATTCATTCAGTAGTTTTTGCATAAAAGAGGACTTACATTTATAATATTTTAAAGATTAACAAACCAATAATATTCGTATTAATAATTAGCTATGGCCCGCAGGTTTGTTCGCATGAGCAAATTTAATTTTAAACTATATAATATACAGTAATTTAAACATAACTATAAACAAACATCTAAACAGCGTTATAAACTTTTTTTATTAGTAGAATTTTAGAATTACTAACCTTTTAAAATTGTTATAGTGGTTTGAATTTTGTTTGCATATCTGAAAATTCCATTTTTGCATACTGTTTATTCATACAGATACTTTTTAATAAACCACCAAGATAAAAAAAAAAGTATAATATGAGGCCTTTATATACAGCAAAACCTTGCCATCCAGGGAATGACATGCATGTTTTTAATTATTGTAGTTTTCTATAGTAACATATTTCTAGACTAAAAGCGACTTGCCCTTATATTGTACACCAAGGCCAAACACTTGATTGAAGTTATGGATTTTTTATTTTTACAATAGAAAATGACTATATGCGTACAACCATTGATTATTGTTATTCTGAGAATATAAATTTACATGTGTCCAAACGTTTACAGGCATTAAATGTAATTTTAATTGTTATTAAGGAGTATGGTCCCTCAGTATCCCCTAATGTTGTAAAATTATATATAGACGATCTCTGTATATGGAAAATATTAAAAATAAAATAGTATGGAGGGTCTTAATAAAAAGAATAACTTTTATATTTTTTTCTAACTTTCTGTTTGTCTATATGTATGGTTATTCCTGCATAAAGCAAAAGCTATTGAATAAAATTGCATGCGTTTGCACTGTTGTATTTCTATAGGTCTAACTTAAAAATTGGTGTATATTTTATCTTTTTAACGCCATATAGAAGTCGTCTATTTCATTGGTTTTCCTACTTCTAAAATGCACGTGTACGAAACAGAGACTAAGAGCTAGGTTTTTATAAAAAATAAAAAACACTGATAAGATGTGAAATGTTCTAAGTTGTAAGGAATAATAATGTAATATTAAAATAAGTATGCTTAATTATAAACTAAGCATAAATAAGTAAACTGCTCTAATATAATTACAAGTTTGAGTGTAAAATAGAGCCGGCAATAAAAAAAAAAATACTCACTTAAGAAAATATATTTTCTATTTATAGTAACGTCAATTCTACTTTTTACTTAGGAGACAACCCTACAAATAGTCCTTACGTTCTTGTTCAAGGATGTTGACTCTGCAGGACTCCCACAAAATATTGTATTATTAGCTCTATACAACTATAATCTGTTGGCATTGATCCTAAACAGCGTTATTTACATTAGGCAAGCAACTTATTTTATTTTAGCGTCTACATTACAACAATTAACTTTACCTACGTCTAGAACTAAGCCTTTAATAATCCATAGGATTACATTACTTACACGTATATTTTGTAATATAAATTACAGTAAACTTACTTAAACCTCCCTAATTAATTCTAAATAAAATTAAACTGAAAACGTAGCAAACTCTATTGATGGAAAAAAGGAATATCAAAATCGACCACAATTGACAAAGATATCGCATAACATACAAAAATTGCGGAATTAAGAACTCCCCTATTTTGAATTTGTATTTATACATACATACATTGCTTAATGGCTTCAGTATAGAATAGATCACTCCTTCCTTTCCCGTGGGTGTCGTAAGAAGCGACTAAGGGAGGGCGAAAGATGGGCAGCATCCTTCTTAGAACACCTCCAAAACCTAACTGCGAGGGAGAGAAAGGGCTTATTAGTAATGACTACCAGCACTAGCAATGTACACTGTCAGGTCGACCTCCACGTGGTTCCCCCTGGAAACCATCGTGCTTAATTTCAAATGTATTTATCACAATGCGCTAACTGACCTGCTTTTTTATTCTCACCTATCATTCCTCACTGGTGCCCCGCCAGCGTATACCGTTAGCGCAGACGGGGTTACTATTACATTATCATCCATTAAAAAAAAGCTTAACTGCGGTTGCCGATCCGCCAGTCAAGCGTGGCAACTACTGGAAAAATCCTCAAGGAGGAGGCTCATGTTCAGCAGTAGACCGTTAAATTCTAATATAATGATGATGATTATACTTATGCATTTGAAATTATATAAAAAATTACGCTTGTGATTAAAATAAATATCTATTTCACGTCATTCAAAGGTCGTCAGTTATGAGTATTATATTATTTGTAGCTTATATTTAGATATAGGAACGGGATATTTATAATTATACATTAAAACATTTTAGTGTATTCACAGCACTTGCAAAATGTCAATTGATACAAATCGTAATAAAACTGGCATTAATTTGAAAAAACATCAGCTTTTTTCAAATATTTAAAATTTATAAATTTGTGTTAATATAAACCACTAAGCATTGGTATTTGACCATCTGGTATATGGTCAAAATGAAGATTCATATAAATTTATAAGCATACATATAAATTAATATCAGTTGCAGTGCCCAGAATAGGCCAGCCCCTATAGGCAGCATCCATTCATGAATATGACGAAAGAGACGGTCGTCATTGCGCTCAACGATATTTTAGGATATTCAATATCCCGGTCCATCAAATGAGCATGACTTATTCAAGACACTCAACCACGCTGTTAAGTTGAAATAATTATGTGCCATCTGAATTAAAGATTATAGAACAATAAAAAAATCATTGTTTATATAATTAAATGTTTAATTATATTTTTACATAGGTAAATAAAATACGCAAGGATACGGTACAAAACGTACAAATACCTATATAAGCTCTCGTTGAAGTATTTACTTAACTCTTGTTCAATTTAAATTGTACAAATGTATGGAAATTGGGACGGCGCTCTTGGCGGAAATTAACTCCAGCTAATGCAAATACATAAGAGCGTGCGTTAAATTTTATTTCAATTTAAAAATCTAAGTAGTAAGTATAAAGTTTAGTGATAATTAAAGAATCAAATATTTATAGCAATATTGTACAAGTAAGCAACACGTAATGATTGTATAAATTAAATTGAAAAAAATTAGAAAGCGAAAGCAATCACACTCGAAATTTTATATATATTTTCAAATTATATAATTAATAAATTAAAAATACTGTATAAACTTGCAGTTTAATTTCATATAGATCAGTACAACTATATATAGTGGGGAAGAACATGTTTTTATAAAGATTTTATGTCGTAAAAAATAGAATAATTAAAACGTATATTTTAATAAATAATGTAATAAGCAACAAGTAAATAGATAATATAATTTGTTTATTTTAGGGTTTATTGTTTATGTATTAAGATAAATAGTAGAAATTTATAATATAATTTTCAATTTCCTTCTGAGAAAATTGCGGCTATTTTAAAGTAATACTATAAAGTATTGCTGAGTATTAGTTAAACTAGCGTTCTCCATCGAAATCCAGCTCCATTTGCATGCCCACCGACCTACAATGTTTGCTTTGACTATTTTTAAACACATGTAGAGTTTAATAGGTTAATAAAAAGCAAATATGTAGGTTAATAATACTGTGTACGTTTTATGTTGCACTAACAAATTTTACGGGGACTGTGATGATTCTTTTGGGATTTATAATATCTGAAGGCCATGAAATGTTTTCCGAAATTTCGGGTCCGAACGGAACACAAATTTGATGTTAAAATTACATAATACATACCGTTTAAAAACATTAAAAATGCTAAAGTATGTTAAAATGCTAAAGTATAAATGAAATGTTAAGCTCCATTTACTGGATCGATTTCGGTATGAACAAAAACACGGAATTGAGTCCGAAAATTCGGAATTTCATTTCATGGTAGACCCCCTGGTCTTAGAATAATTTTATTATAGGATCTGGGATGAAACGGATGGAGCATAGAAAATTTTAGTTTTAACTTAACCTTAACCCTGAAACCAGTTCACCACGGGTATAGCAATCATTAGTAAGTCGTATTTAGTGTTCACATCTTTAATAAATAATTGTTATTACAATGTCAAAGTATGAGTATTTCAGGATGCAAGTAAATGAATGTATTTCATATTAGTATTACATTAATGTAATTGCCGTGTGGTTCCGGCATAGAATGGACCACATCTTCCTTCCCTGTGGATGTCGTAAGACACGACTAAGAGAACTTAATGGTCAAGGGATGGGCAGCAACGCCCCTCTTAAAATATCACCAAAGCCTAATTGCGATTATCAACCCGTTTGCTGAACAGTTAACGGCTGATATGAACATGAATGTCATT